TCAAGTTCTTTCATGGTTGTTCTGTGTTGAACTTTTATATTGCCATACATTCATTAAAATTTATATTGATTGAGTTTTAGAATCAGTTTTATTCGAAGCAGCAAAATATTGAACGACCACTGACTTGCATCCAATGAAGCACGAAATTCACACGGAATCGAAATAAATTTAATTATAACTTCGCTTCGAAAATTGCATCGTCATTATGTTTCTGCTTTTGAAAACAAATAAACTGAACTTTCCGTGAAAATCTTGTTATCGAAAATATTATACGTAGATATTCAATTCAAATATGCAAATGAATTTGATTCTTTCCATAATGCGCTTATGATGTTCCTCCTAACCGATGTTAAATACATCTTGTAATTATATTATTTTGAATATATAATTGATTAAAAACCACGTAGTTATTTTAATTTCATTTTTTCTTTTTATTATTAATGATAGAAGAAAAATATTTTTATTAAATTAATTTTCTCACGTTTGACGGAATATTTTTTATCACAAATAAAACACATCACTTTTATTTCACATTTATTTGCTTTGTCGCAATAACAACTAAATAAAGTTAAAATAATTCACATTTACTTTCATTTATTTTTACATATCTTGTATTTGTCATATTTCAATCATAAATATGAAAATAATAAATACGAGCTACAATATTAAATATACGAATTAAAAATGTGAAAAGCACATCGTTTTATTACCAAATAATTAATTTGTTATTTTTCTCTCAAACGAAAAAATTCTATAAATCTTTCTCTGTCGAACAATAAAAATTGTATATCTGTAAAATATTAGAACGATTCTTAAAAGTTTTTAAGAAATATTTAACGTTTTCTTAGGATATAAATTCGGTTCTCTATTAAATCAACAGATAAAGCTTTGGGATTGAAAATTGAAATTTTCGTATATCTTCTTAAAACTTGATGTTTAATGAAAATTTTTTATTTCGTGTGATTGATATCTCGAAATTCGTTCAGTTATTCGTGGATTTTCTAACAAATAATGAATTTATGGATTGAATATATCCGATAGATGTTTGTTAATTTGTTTTTGAAAGATATTTGAAAGATTTGTTGATATTTGAAAGATTATATTTGAAAGATATAAATGACCACGTTCGAATAATGATTTATTATTAGAGAATAAAGAAATTGAATAAAAGAAGATATGAAGATTGAATTAAAATTAATCTTTAATCATAGTATTAATCAAATTTTTTAGAATTTTCTAATTCTAGTTTCAAACAAATAATGAAACGAAAATTCAATCACCTTATATTTATGTAAAATTTGCTTATTTGATTATTTGATACATTTTCAGATGTAATCAGATTTTCTTTATTCATTAATAAGATACATATAGGCAGAAACACATTTTCATTTAAATTGTCTGTTAAATAGTAATATCAGTTTAATTAACGCTACATGGCGAAAATGGCCTTGTGGTTTGTTTAGCATAATACAAGGAGCAAAATGTTTTCGATGCGCGTGTCATTACCAGCTCATTCTATGCACGCCATCGATCTAAATAAAATTCATTATAATTACTTTCCTTTTATATAATATCCAGGAACTTTTTAAAATCGAAGCTTTCAACAAAATCTCTTTAAAATAGTATCCTTGAAATTTCAATTTTCCTTTGAAATATATGTTCTACTTCAAAGGCGTTTGTTTCATCTGTTTCATTATTGACAGTACCGGATAACGTATTTAATACTGAATTTTATACTGAAAATGTATAATTTGAATAATTTTATATTTAAAATTTGTAACTTTGATAAAATTTTATATTAAAAAAAACTGATAATATTGAAATATACATATTGACAGTATTCTGATTTTGGACATGTTCATAATTAAAATTGAGAGAAGATAGAAGAAAATGTTATAATAGGAGATTTGCTGTAACAAAAATTTAAAATTTTAATTGAAATTGCATTGGTAGATAAAGAAAGTAAACATCGATTCGCAATTTCAATTTCATAGAGATTTGGATAGAAGATGCAGAGAAGTACTTTTATGTGCAAAAAACGTCTCCAGAAGAGTGCAGAAGGTTAGTTTTAAAGTGGAGGTGAAGTGGCCGTCTCAAGAGTCAACATTCAGTAGACAGAATGTTTGGAAGCCATTTTATTCGTATGTATGTAATGTATATGATCCTTATATTAAATTTCAATGAATATAAATTGAAATTTTCTAAGTTTTTTCTTTCAATATTATTTACATATTTATTATATTAATCTGTATAATAGAAATATGTAATTATTTTGAAAAAAATATAAGCAAAGTTAAATAAATTTAAATTCTAGGAAAGAACATCAAAATTAAATATAAATTAAAGATTTGGTATATTTAACTTTGAGATTTGGTTATATAATCGAAACTTTAATAAAAAATTTTCTCATTTAAAATTAATGAACTTTTATATCGCTTTATATTATCTCTTCTTATTTATGCACTTATTAAATTCAATGTCATAGATTTATTTAAAAGAATCATTTAATCCATATTTAATTTATTTTCATTATGTTCAATGTATCTATGTAATAATTATTTATTTTCTAATCTAAAAATCTTTTTATTATAAACTTATATTGTTTTCTATTTTAAATAATAATATTAATTTTTTAAAATAAGATTATATGTTAAATTTATGTTATGAAATGAAACAATTCGATTCTTAAGGGATTGAATCGATATTTTTATAAAATATAAATCAAGTCTATTTAGAAATAGATTTAAAAATATTTCTTATCAGTGACCGCATTTTTTTTAATTTTGTAGTGTGAAAGGATTCCATATTAAAGATTATCGATTTTTGGTGTTAGTTTAAGTTTAAACGTCGTTTCAAAAGGGATTACTATTTAGAAGAACTCTCAAACGAAATATTTTTAACTCTAACATGTAAAATTATATTAATTACTTACTAAATTTTTATCAAAATATAAAAATAAATATTTTAAATATATATATAATAAAATATTTTAAATAAGACAAACGAAGTCTGTAATATATTCTAACAAAATTAAATTTGTTAAAATATAAATAGAACAAAAATTACAATATAATTACTTTAAAATAAAAATTTTCTTAATTTTCTAGAAATAGAAATCACAATATATTAGTTTCAAACTTTCTTTTTCTTTGTTTCAACTTTTCTTTTTTCTTTTTTTGTTTAAAAGAAAGTAACTTAAAATATTTTCAGGCAACAGTGCATCTATTTCTAGTTTCTTTTAGATTTTTTAATTCTTTTTAAAAGTTTTAGATATTTTTACAAATTTTATTAAATGATTAGTGAAGATAAAAAAAACTAATTTGAAACAAAATGAGTTCACGAGGATAATTATAATTAATTTAAAACGAAATGATAATGGACTGTTTGATACAAAAAATAACACTTAGACTAATTAGATATCCAATCCATGTGAGCTACATTTGAATATCAAAAACTTCAACTATTAATTTGCTATACGTTTTATAAATAGTGTTTAAATTTCATTTACTAATTGCGGAAAGTAATAGCGTGATCTCATTTTGTGGTATGACAATTTTTTCCTAGTTTTAAAACTAATGAAATTATTAATTGATTACGGCACAATGGATAAAAAGTTTTTTCTTTTATCTTATTGTATAGTTCAAGT